CTCCTGGGTTCCATCCCCAGTACTACTGCAAAAACAAACAAACACAAACTACAACAGCTAACCCCATTAAAACGCAAGTGCTTATGCAGAAGGTTGGTTGCAGAACCTGAGTCAGAGTTAAGTGTGGAGGCTCTGCTGTCATGCGTGAGACCCTGAGCACATTCCCAGCACAATAATCAAAACAAACAAGTAAATAAGCAAAAAAAAGCAAGATAAAGTATGTTCTGAAGTTTATGTCACCCTGGGCAGTGTGCCCACTGACAAACTGTCTTTGCCCATCAAATAAAAGTACATTGCTTTGGTGAAATGTAAACTCAACTGTTCTTCGTATCTTGCCAGAAAAACACTACAAAAAATTGAACTTTGTTCCTGACTTTTCTTTTGTAGATATATTGCAGATCATCTTTTTTTGGTTTACGTACACTTACTTTAGACAAAGTGTACTGAAATTAATTGATTAGGTTTGAACTTCCCTTTTTTTGTTGTTTTTTGAGACCAGGTCACACTCTGTAATTTAGGCTGGACTTGAACTCACTAAGTAGCCCAGGTTGCCCTCAAATTCACAGCAATCTTCCTGCTTCAGCCTCCTGAGTACTGGAATTATAGGGGACCACCACATCTGGTTGAACTTCCTTAGATATAATCATGTTCTTTTTTTGTTGTTTGTTTTGAGTCAGGGTCACTATGCAGTCCAGGCTGACCTTGAACTCACCATGTAGCCGAGGCAGGCCTGAACTGACAGTGATCCTCCTGCCTCAGCCTCCCAAGTGCTAAGATTACAGGCATGCCCCACCACACCTGGCCTACTCATGTTCTAATCTATTGTGTAAATTAGATTAAATTTGGGATAATTTTTGAAAACTTTTAATCTCTCAAATATTGATAGATATTTTCTGTGACTGTGTATGGTCAGCTTCCCCATTGCTAGGACAAAGTACTGGATGCCCACAACTTGAAGGAGGAGAGGTTTACTTGGTGGTTTTCGAAGTTACCATCCATGGGTGGCTGGCTCGAAGGCAGCAGCACCATGGTGGAAGGGTGAGGTGGTGCAAACCTGCTCACATCATGGGGGCCAGGAAGCAGAGCACAGGGAGAGTGACAGAGAGGAGGGGCAGGGCCTATAGGCAGTGCCCTGGATCTGGAAGCAACTAGAGCAAGATCATGTTGCATGGCCCACCCAGACACACCCAGAAGTGTGCCTTACTCATCTCCAAGGCATCTCTCAGGCAGCTCGAATTGACAATATTAACCATCACAGGTTGAGTTTTACTTATGACAGATCTCCATTATTTAAAGTAAGGCTTTCAATATTCCAAATATTTCTCTTTTTTTCTTTCTTTCTTTTCTACTTTCTCTGTTTTTTTTTTTTTGTTGTTGTTTGTTTGTTTTGTTTTGAGACAGAGTTTCACTCTGTAGTGCAGTCTGGCTTCAAACTCATGGAAATCCTCCTGACTTGGCCTCCTGAGTGCCAGGATTATAGGCATGTGCCACCATGCCTGGTGTATAGTCTCATTACTTTGTGTGTGTATGTGTATGTCTTTTTGAGACAGCATTTCACTATGCAGTTCAGGCTGACCTTGAGCTCACTTTGCAGCCCAGGCTGGTCTCGAACTCGCAATGATCCTCCTGCCTCAGCCTCCCAAGTGCTGGGATTACAGGCGTGCGCCACCACGCCTGGCTGTATAGTCTCATTACTAAAGTGAATCTTTACCTTTATAACAATCCATTGTTATCTCTGCTAAAAGAACTGGAGGAACAAGAATAGTAATAACAGTAATCATGACAGAATAAACCATTGGTTTAGGGTTAGGCTCAATTCTCCTATGTACACTTTCTTTTCTTTACAGATATTATTTTTACTTTTATATCCACAGCATTAGAATAATTCTGTTGCATAGTTGATGCTCCACAAATATTTGTTAAATGAATAAGAAAAACGTGTTAGAAAACAATGACTTGAGTTTCGGTGATACCTACAAAGGCAAGCAGGAAGCTTGGAGCTGAGGGTAGGGAAAAGCTGGAGGATGCCAGGAACTAAGCAAGGATTTGATGCCTGTGGTTTGATACATGGATAGATGCATTTGAGGCATGTGATTGATACATTTGATACAAGGATTTGACGCATGTGATTTGATGCAAAATTGGTTGAACTTCTAGAATAGGAGGAGCAGCAGATGAACTCTTCCAAATACTGAGTTTTTCTGTTACAGGAATTTTCATCCTGGGAGGAGTCCTCTACTTTCGGGAATCGCTTGGATCCGGTACAGTGCACCACCCACCCTGTAGCAATCTTGTCGGTCTAGGATCCAAAATCCTTGCAGTAGAACTTCCTCTTCCCCATCCTGATCTGGAAGTGTTCCGCCAAACCCCGCAGCCTCCAAGTCAGCACTATAGTAGCCAGGATGACCCTGCTTCCCTTGTCCAGGAAGCAACTCAAGACTCTGGCTTTCTTCATTATATTCTTGGGTTGCACAGTTGGAGGCTTGAAATTTTGTCTTTTCAAATCTCTTGCGGTTTGGCTGGAATGCCATCGCAGACGGTTCGACGGGCCTCGGCACCCCAGCACTCTTCCGCGTTAGGCCTCCTTTGCTGGAGGCCAGGGCCCTGGGGCCGAGAAAAGGCTCCTGGATAAAATGCTTCCCGCCGGCGTAGGAGAGCTTCAGCTTTGGAAAGAATTCTGATTGGATTTTCGGCTCCTCCTCTGGCCCAAGAGTGCGTCACCATGGAGATGGGGCCGGCCCCCCTGCTTGGCTGCCATTGGCTGGGGCCGCTGGGGCTGGAGATAAAAGCCAGTGCCCAGGGCACACGGAGTTAACTGCAGACGGAACCAGACCGTTTCCGACCTCCGCCAAGTGATTGATAGATCGATCAGCGGGCCATGGAGGACGGGTGAGACGACCCTCAGGCCCCGAGACCCCTGGAGCCCCTGGGGAGGGGAAATGACAGTCTTCGAGACCGGGAGACTTGCGCCTTGGTCCGCAGGGGCCAGGGAGAGGGAGAGAGCTCCCTGGAGACGTGGAGCGGCCTGGCACGGAGCCCGGTGCCGGAGTCAGGGCGGTGCCAGGGTCAGGGGACAGAACCGCGGGGCGCGTGCAGGGATCGGGCGGGCTGGCCGCGGAGCAGGAAGGGGAAGGTTTGTGTAGTGCACGTCGTCGGTGTGCGTGTTAGGTGCAAGCAGAGAGGGAGGCACACCCCTCGCTGCCCGCCGCGGACTTGCTCGCCCACGCGGATGCTCCTCTCAGGTCTTCCCGGGTCTAGGTGGAGACAGGTGCTTTCGGTGCTCACGCCCGGAGTCCTTCTTTTGGAGAAAGGGCGGTTCACCGCCTTGCCAACCCCCCGCCCTCCAAACTGAAGTCCCGTTCACCAGCTGGGAATGGAGTCCCCAGGGAGGGAAGGAGAGCATTATTACTGAGCAGAGCAGCGGACACCATTCGTTCCCACCCTACACCTTTGAAAAGCCCTTCTCTTTGCCTTGGTCCCGGAATTCCCTGTCCAAGTCAGCAGCAGAGGGATCGCGCCGCGTCTCTGGGGTGACGGAGAACCAAGGCTGTTCTTGAGGGACGGACACCGAGGAGGAAGTCCTGTGAGAGCGCGACAACGGCCGTACCGCCTTTCATTTTCTGTTCACCGCTTAAGGGCGCGTGTTATTGATGAACGTGTCACCAGCCTTATTGCTCTGTTGCCTCCCCCAGCCTGTTACCCAGCTACTTCCCTGAGGGCAGCCTGATTTATTGTGGAATTTTGCCTGGTTGCCCAGACTTTTTTGCTGTTGTTTTTTTTTTGTTGTTGTTTTGTTTTGTTTTGTTTTGAGACTGGGTCTCGCTGTGCAGTTCATGCTGTCCTTGAGTTCACTTTGTAGCCCAGGCGGATCTCACAACGATCCTCCTGCCTCAGTTTACTTTGTTTTTGAGACAGGGTCTGGCTGTGCTGCCCAGGCTAGACTACTGGGCCTTAAGAATTCCTCTCACATCAGCCTGGCAAGTGGGACCACGGATGCTTGCTACTTACTGTGCCTAGCTCCTAGGCTCCGCTTTTTGTTTGTTTGTGCGTGCGTGCGTGCGTGCGTGATTCTCTTGTCTCAGCCTCCCAAATGCTGGGATTACAGGAGCTTGCCACCACACACTGCCTAGATTCTGCTTTTGAAGAAAAAGAATTTCCTCTGGAAGGTTAATTAGTTGTGTTCAACTCTGTTACACCTCAATTCCACCTCTGAGCACAATCTTTGACCCTTTCCGATGGGTGTGATGGAATCAGAGTTGGAACTCAGAAAAGTTACAGACTGCCTCTTGCTAGTAGTGTAGGGGCTCTTGTGATTGTTTACTCTTACATGCTGAAGGGAAGAAGTCTTGGTGTGAAGAGAAAGGATGACACAAGTAGTCAGGGACCAGGAGGAACAGCAGGAGGTGATCACAGACATCGAAAGCAAAAACAGTTTCCAATTTGTGGAGCTTCTTAGCAAGGTTTTCATGTGTGGGGATGGGCCCACAATCTGTGTGTGTGACAAGCTTCTGCAGAGAACTTAAACAATCAGTCCTGGTTGATCCTTGGCAGGCAGCCAGTGTCGTGGATTTGCTGTGGCCTGTTGCATCGCAGTAGTGTAGTCTCTGGCCTTGGGAACCTTTGCAGTTCCCTAAGACAAAGGTTTGTGGGGACCTGGGAATCTTAGAAATCAGCATCCGGGAGAAACTCAGACTGGCACATAGACTTCTACTAGGAGTGTTCCCACTGCTTTCTTCCCTTTCCTTTTCTCTTTCCTCAATCAAAAACTTTAGCCCCAAGAGCGAGATGTGTGGCAGGCCTGTAGCCCCCACTACTTGGGCAGCTAAGGCGGGAGGATCACTTGAGTCTTGCAGTTGGAGGCCGGCGTGAGTAGTGCTCCTTCTATAGAACACACACACACACACAAGACAGGACTGGATGTGCGGCAGCCTCGTGGTAAAGCACTGTCTAGTATCCTTAGGCCCTGGATTCTGCCGCCAGCACAAGGTAGCGGCTGTGGGGTTATTAGCCTTTCAGTATTTGGCTGAGGAAGGAACTAGAGTGCATTTCTAAGAAGAAGCTGGGTTTTATTATATTTTGTTTTTTTCTTTGAGATAGGATCTCACTATAAAGTTCAGGGTGACTTTGAACTCAGTATGTATCCTAGGCTGGCCTGGAATTTATGGTGATCCTGCTGCTTCAGCGTCCCAAGTGCTGGGATTACAGGCGTGTTCCACCAAGCCTGAAATAGCCTTAATTACACTTTGAGAGTCCATAGGAGATAGAGAGGATACCACAGAAGAGTGTATTAAGTTTGTTGCTGCCCTCAGAAAGGTCTTAATTGCATTTTGAGTGCTCTCCTTAGCCTCAGTCTCTTTATTTCATTGCACTTTTTGGCCCCTATAATCCCTCTGCAGTCTTTGTTATGAGCCGTAATAAATTCGTCAGTGCTGGAGGTACAGATCAGTGGTAAAGCACTTGTCTAGTAAATGAGAGGCCCTGGGTTTGCTCCCCAGAACCATAATGAAAGTTAAACAAGACAAAACCTGAGACACAGGAGTTGGGGCTGTTAATGGAGACAGTTCTTCAACTTTTGCAGGCTCTGGAATTGAAAGATTCTCATGCGTTTTTGCTGTGGGCATGTGACCACCGCCTCTGGGCCAGCTTTTCTATTCCTTGATATCTGGACACCTGCCAGCCTTTCTGCACTGAAGGTTATTTGTCTGTGATACTCTTGGAATGAGAGTAGAATTCACTGTGGTTTTCTTTTTACCCCCTAGGTTCACGTACGAAGATTATCAGAACACTGCACGATGGCTTCTCAGTCACACCAAGCACCGGCCCAAAGTGGCAGTGATCTGTGGTTCTGGGTTAGGAGGTCTGGCTGACAAATTAACTCAGGCCCAGGCCTTTGACTACAGCGACATACCCAAATTTCCGCAGAGCACAGGTACTGGGAATTGGAAGGAAGGGATGAAACTGAGAGGTATTGATGGGGTTCTGTGGAATTCAGTGGGGGCAGTCAGTGTTACTGACCAGAATCAAATGTTGCAAGAGGAAAAAAGACGGCCACGAAATTTCCCTAAAAGAGATTTCCTAAAACAGTGCATGTAAGGGCTGGGGATTTAGCTCAGCGGCAAAAGCACCTGCCTGACAAGTGCAAGGTCGTGAGTTCTGTTCCCGGTACCAGAGAAAAAAAAACAAAAACAAAAACAGTGCATGTATCAGTGGGACTAAGACAGCATCTTTCCTATGCTTTATTGATTTATTGCTGCTTAAAACTCCACAGCACCTTTCCCCCACGTGCCTCCTGACATATAACCATCCCGCTTGTTGCCTCTACCCCGTACCTTAAATGAGAAAAATATTTTTTTTGGGGGGGGGGCGTTTTTTCCAGTACCAGGAACCGAACTCACGACCTTGCTCTTGCCAGGCAGGTGCTGTGCCGCTGAGCTAAATCCCCAGCCCCTGAGAAAAATAATTATCTACCACCTCCCGGGACAAAGCCAAGCCCCTCCCTTTCTCTAGCTCCAGGCCTAGCATAATGTACATACTGCATAGCAATAAATGAACACACAGACCACTGTGTTCTTATAGACACACGTGCGCGCTAATACACAAGACGTAGTTCACATTTACCTCTTGGGAGGGGAAAGGATGCATGGTGGACCTCTGAGACGTCGAAAGGCGGCAAGTCTAGCATTCTCATAGCAGCTAGAAAGCTTTTAGGCTAAGACTTAGAAAAGGGCTAGGTGAAGCCAGACAAGGTTGCTGACACCTGTAATCTCAGCACTCTGGGAGGCTGAGACTAGAAGATTGCAAGTTTCAGCCCAGCTTGGGCAACTTTGTGTATTAGCAATATAAACAATAAAAGGGGCTGGGGACGTAGCTCAGTGCAAGGGACAAAAAAAAAGCTAGGTGAAACAGGACAAGTAAAAGATAAGGTTTTTGTTTTGTTTTGTTTTTTTCAGTCTGTGGTAAGTTTATTGACGATCCCATGGCAGCAACAGGAACAGGCAGAAGGGCAAAAAAAAAAAAATATAAAAAAGAGGATAAGATAATTGGGCATGGTGGTACGTGCCTGTAATCCCAGGACTTGGAGACTGAAGCAGGAGGACTGCCATGAGTTCGAGGCTAGCCTGAGCTACATAGTGAGCTCAAGGCCAGCTGGAACTGCATAGTGACATCCTGTCCTAAAAAACTGAAGAAAAAAAAAAAAGATAAGGTTAATTTATTTGGTTCACTTATTCTCAAATAATTAACTTCCTTTGGTTTATTTATGAACTTTTTAAGATTTCAATCTTCCTCCATTTCCTGGATAGTTAAGACTTTTAATAAATACTTTAAAAACCTTTTGGAGCAGATGGGAGACCAGAGCAGGAAGCATGGAAACTTGGTTTAGGGAAGGAAATGTTAAAAAGAGGGAGGGCCAAAGGAGGGCATAGTTCTCAGAAATAGTAGAGACATTGGTCATTTGCCACTCCTACCTCTTATAGGAAGGGCACCGCATGAAGAGATAATTTTATCTATCTGTCTATCTATCTATTTTTGGATAGGATGAACCTCTATGAGGTTCCGGCTAGACTTGAATTCACTTTGTAGCCCAGGTTGGCCTTGAATTTGTGGCAATCCTCCTGCCTCAGCCTCCCAAGTGCTGACATTACAGGTCACGATGCCCAGGTCTATTTATTTTATTTATTTTTTGTTTCTTTTTATACTCCAGTTGGTTTTTCATAACTGAGTTTTGCTCCGTTACTAGTAACTGTAATCTCCTCCAATCACTTCCTGTTCATTCTGGTCTCTTACCCATACCATCAATTCCCTAAGGAATAAATTGGCCACACATTAGCAGAAATTGCCAGATAAGAAAAAAAGGTGAAAGTTAGTATTTTGCCTGTGGGGAGCTATCTCTGTATTTCCAGGCCCTCACAGTCATCTCCATGACTGTGCATTCCCGTAGGGTTGGTGTGGGTGATGAGGAAGGAGAATTGCTTGGGTTCAAATCTAGACCTTTCTCCCTGACAGGCTCAGAAGAGGCCTGTAGTTACAGCAGTCAGTGTTACCCACTATATTTTCCACTCACTTTTATCCCACAGCATAGGGACAGCATGTGGCTTTCTCATTCTTTTGAAATTTGTTCTAAAAACCTTTCTTTTTCATGTTTACTCTGAGGACCCTTTCCTTCACAGCGCTAATTCCAGGTTACTTGGTATGATGATGATTGTCTTTACCAGGCTTTTAACATCTTCCATCGTGACCTTGTGTGCAGAGAACACCGAGGGGTGCGCTGCAGTGCTCGGCAGGTGTGTGCTCCTGAACATGCTCGGCAGGTGTGTGCTTTGAACATGCTCATTTCCCTTTCCTGTTTGTATACAGTGCCAGGTCATGCTGGTCGACTGGTGTTTGGATTCCTGAATGGCAAAGCCTGTGTGATGATGCAGGGCAGATTCCACATGTATGAAGGATACTCGCTCTGGCAGGTAAATCAGGGTCATAGGCCTGTTTGGATCTGGACTAAGAGGAGGGGAGAGAAGTACCCTTTTATTACTCTCATCACTTTTTGTTGCAGGGACAAAATACCCAACAGCCATAACTTGAAGGAAGAGAGGTTTCAGTCTGTGGGCAGCCGGAGTGGAGGGGACTGGGCGCAGGACAGCTGCTGACATCATAGGAGCCAGGAGTAGAGAGAAGGGAGGACGCGGGGGGCGGGAGAGGTGCACCCTTCCGGGTCACACCAACTACCTTCCTATTTGGGCTAGGTAGATTTTTGTTCCTCTCTATCTCCGCTTTCATGATATATATTATGTACACCTGCATAGGTAGATTGAAATTTTTCGATCTTTTGCTTCTGAGGTGACATACCCCGTGAGGGTTTTCCAGCTTCTGGGAGTGGATACGCTGGTGGTCACCAATGCAGCTGGAGGGCTCAACCCCAAGTTTGAGGTTGGAGACATCATGCTGATCCGTGATCATATCAACCTACCTGGCTTTTCTGGTCAGAACCCTCTCAAAGGGCCCAATGATGAGAGGTATGTATCTTGCTTCTTTGTTTCCAAGTAGGTAGGGCTTTAGGACTTGTCTAGGAGTTAGGAACAAGTTCATTTAATTTTAATTATCTGAGATAATCCACCCTTTGACCTAGGTTTGGAACTCGTTTCCCTGCCATGTCTGATGCTTATGACCGGAATATGAGGCAGAAGGCTTTCAGTGTCTGGAAAGAAACGGGGGAGAAGCGGGAGCTCCAGGAAGGCACCTATGTGATGCTGGCCGGCCCCAACTTTGAGACTGTGGCAGAGTGTCGCCTGCTGCAGCAGCTGGGGGCAGATGCTGTTGGTGAGAAAAGGAGACTTTGGCTGGAGACTTGAGGGGAGGATCTGGTCAAAGCAAGGGGGAGAAGCAGATTACAGACCTAACAGGATTTAAAGAGGGTTTGACTTAATAGAAGGGTAAATTAAACTGACTTGCAGGAAAACAAAGTGGGGCAGTCCACTGAGACGGCTTCACTGCTGACCACCCACTCGTGATCTGACTCTTCCTGAGAATTATTCTAACACACATCAGCATAATCCACCGCTGCACCTCGGGGCAGAAGGTAGACCTCTGCCATTAGAAGGGGCTTTGAAATTACCACAAATTCAGAAATAACTCATGGTATTGGCAATATTCGTAAGAAATATGTGAGACCCTCTGAGGCCCCACTTATTTTAAGCAATCCAGGATAACATAAACCCAACACTAATTTAGCTGCTTCTCAGGATGCTTTTCTGAAGAAAGACGAGACTAAAGGGTGACAAAAGCAATTTCGAACCTTAGCCGTTGGTGTCTCTGTCCCTCCTGTCAGGCATGAGCACCGTACCGGAAGTTTTAGTTGCGCGGCACTGCGGACTTCGCGTCTTCGGCTTCTCCCTCATCACTAACAAGGTCGTCACGGATTACGAAAGCCGGGAGAAGGCCAACCACGAGGAGGTTCTAGAGGCTGGGAGACAAGCTGCAAAGAAGCTGGAGCATTTTGTCTCCCTTCTCATGGCGAGCATTCCACCCTCTGACAATGCCTAATACCCACTCCGGAAGTGGGCGGGTGCCTCCCTGGTGGAATCCAGGTGGCTACTGCCTACTTTGGCCCTGCTAGTGCCTCTGCTCTTAGGTAGCGGGAAGGAAATGAGCTCTTTATCCCTCATATTCTCTACTTTCTCCTATCAGACCTTTCTGGTACCAAGTCCTCTTGCTCAGTTGTCTTCTCAAAGCAGTTTTTCTACCCTGTTCTTCTGGAAGAACTGGAGCCCAGTGCCCTACCACTCCTTGGGACCTGCCCATGATTTGACATCGGCCTTTGAACTCCAAACAATAGCTACTACTAATTCTCTGAGATGACACTCATGTTCTTGGGGCTCTGTTCTGCCTCACAGCACTAAAGAGCAAGTAAGGACCAGCTCATACACCACAGTATTTTGAGAATAAAAAGATGAAATTATTTTTTTACTTTTTTGTGCAACTTGGGATGAGGCTGGAGCAGAGGCCAAGACTGACACAGACTGTTGTAAGACCCCTGGTCTTGTGTGACTGTCTCCTTCTCACATAATAGCTAAGAACTGAGATGAGGTGTTCTGTGAGCAGCAAAAGATGAAGGAAAGATAGAATGATAAAGGGCATTATGGCCTTAATTGTCACTTCTTTACTAAGTGCTATCTAGTCATTATCCTTCGCCTTGCATTCCTTCTCTCCTACCCCTGTGCGTGCTGCCAGCCACCCCACTGCTGACGCAATTCCTTCCTGCCAGCCCCAGGAAAACCTGTGAAATTGGTTCATACTCAGCTTCTCTCAGAGCACCTGCTTTCCTCCTACTGCTTGCTTTCTGGGGTTTGCTCTTGCTTTTGCTTGGTCAAACCTCCCTGTACCCTGCATTCAGGCAGAGTTCTTCGTTGGCTCACCACATGCTTTTGCTTATTGGCTTACGTGCAGCTGCCTGGCATGTTCAGAAACCACGCTGCCCTCCCAGGCCTGTGTCCTTTTAAGAAAGGACAGTGCTGCCTCCTGCAGCAGCCAGTCTGGGCAGCTTAGTGAGATTGTCTCTGGGCTGATGTGGTAATAGTGCCGCTGGGGTTTCATCCTCAGTTCCCAGGGCCACCATAATACAAAACAAAACAAAGAGTTGATGGGCCCCTCTTTGTCATGACATTTCAGCTTTAGTGGCATAACATGGAAGGAATATTTCAGACAGGAGACTTTTGAGAACTCTTTCAAATTATCCTTTGTTTGGTAACTGATCTACTTAGATGAGCCCAGCCCAAAGGAAAGTCATCCCGGAGTGGGTGCATCACTGCTGTTCTTCAGTTCTCTACACACCATGTAACCCTGCTTGGACCTCCACACGGCCTTGCAGAATGTGTCACTGGTTTCCAGTTGGGGGACAGCACTGTGTTTCTTTGGACAGACATGACTATAACTTGTTCATGTGATGAGATGGCTTATAGGTATTTTAATCCCTGAATATTTCTTTGTGTAGCACTTGGCTAATAAAATGCTAACTTGAAAATATAAAAATGGTCCCTCCTCTCCAGTGGCCCACCATCTTAAGGTACTTATGAAGCACGTGTTGTATAAGACTTGTGTAAAATAGATACAAGTCTTAGCTCCGTGTGTGTGTGTGTGTGTGTGTGTGTGTGTACATGCACGCTTGCACCCAAGAGCTGTACTCACAGCCTCTGAGCTTAGTCTTGAAGGATGAAAGGAAGAGGATTTACATCTGAGCAAACCAAAGCAGAGGCCCAAAGCTGAGGCCTGCTCGAAGGCCACTGTCATGGAGTGTGCTGGCGACAGGGAGAGGTGACCGGAAGGCTGAGGAAAGCTGCCTGGCTGTCCTGCACCCTGATCTGCCTCCCGGTCAGTCTGAATGGGGACCGGAACAGTGCCGCCTGAGAAGTACATCCCGGAGATACCTGAGTACAATACTGAGGCATGGTAGCTTTTTAGGTTTAGTATACTAAATTTGTGTGTACTGTATAAAGACATAACTTTTTAAAATAAAATCTCTATTGAGATAAAAGTCACATACCATCAAGTTCATCCATTTACAGTGTACAGTGTTTAGTATAGTCACATAAATGCACTTAGCACCAGTTAGTTTTAGGACATTTCATCTTCTCAAAAGGAAACCATATCCATCACACACACACACACCCCATACCATACTGGACCGGGGCCACTAATCTATTTTCTTTCTCTATGTGTTTAACTATTTTGGGCTTTCACATGAATAGATTTACATGGAATCACGTAGACTTTATGACTGGCTTCTGCTTCACATAACATTTTCAAGGTTCAGTCAAGTTGTAGCATGTACCAGTACAGTACTGTTTTTTACGGCCAAATATTCCATTGATGCTACATTTTGTTTATGAAATGTCTTCAGTTTGAAAGGGCTGATCAGCCAAGCCCAAACAGGATCTATCAGTATAGGAAAGCAAGAGAATTATGGGGCAAAGTTAAGAGAACTAGGTCTGGAAGGGTCCCCTGGACAAAGGAAGCTCTTGAATAAAACTCATGAGGACTCAGTCCTTTCCAAAGGGGCCTGCAGGAAGCCTGCAGAATGGCTGGGTTTCCTGAGTCACGGCTGGCCTCAAAATGCACAGTAAGTCAGGCTTTCTGTCTTGATCCTACCATGGTCATCTTTATCAACATCAGTAAGTGTTTATTAATCATGTGCTGTGCATGTAACATTCTCCTAAAAGTCACAGTACAAACCGGTGTATGACTAAGAGTTTGCAATCTAGATAGGAGACACATTGTAAGTAAAAAGACAAACAACAAGGCTGATTTATGCACCCTCTGACTACAACATTTTTTTTTTTTGAACATTGTATCATCACTGTTTAGAGTTGCCTTTCTCCACTTAAGATTTGTGTTGCCTTTTTCCTAGGAGGAAAAACGCATAATTAAAAGAAACCAGTACAATAATGTGTGATAAGTAGCATATGCCAAGTGTTAACGACCATATGTGTTCTAAGAATTCAAAGGAGAACCAACACTTGTGGGAGTTGGGTTTGACGGTTGTGGGAAAAGATTGATGAGACTTAAAATAGGTCTCACAGGACAGATAGGTGACGAGCATGCGGCAGAAGGATGCAGACAAATTCAAGAATGCTTAGTCACTGAAGAGATGAAAGTAGTTAAACTGAAGAGTGAATGGGAAGGTAGGAGGGAAAGTGAGGAGGAACCAGATTATTTTTGGCCATTGAAGACTTTTAAACTAAGGTCCAACAGGTGAAAAATCACACTGTCCTATTTTGATGATGAGAAGCCAAACTGGAGCAAAGAGGGTTATTTGGATGGTAAAATTACTTTAACCAAAAGTTAATTATAATTGGTATAATTGTTGGTGTTAAGTATATAATTTTTTAAATACAGGTTGAGATCTTTTGTAGTGTCTTAAAGAATAAGCTGTTAGCCAGGCATGGTGGCACACACCTGTAATCCCAACACTTGGGAGGCTGAGGCAGGAGGATCTTTGCGAGTTCAAGACCAGCCTGGGCTACAATGTGAGCTCAAGGACAGCCTGAACTGCATAGCAAGACCCTGTCTCAAAAAGACAAAAAAAAAAAAAAACAAACAAAAAAAAAACGAATAAGCTGTTAGGAAACGGGGCTGTTGCTCTTGATAGAGTGCTTGCCCAACATGCACAGGGCTTCGTTTTGATTCCCAGTACCTCTTGTAGGGAAAAAAGCTGTTGTAAGATAAAATGTAAATGCAGAAGGGCAAGCAATTTAGAAATGAAAATACACACTGGAGACCAAATGGCAGTTACAGAGATAGTGATTCCTGGAACTACTAACAACAATAAAATTCCTGCCTTCCAACCTCTCCCAGTGAGTAAAAAAAAATCCACAACAGTGCACCTAAGAAATCTGCCTGCACAAGACTCCAGTCCGTGCCGGCCAGGCAGCGCCGCAGCCCAGTTTCCAGTGTTGCACATCACCAACAAGGGATCTGCTCCCCTCTTGCCTGTAAGGAACATGAAGCTATGAAAGATGAACTTTGTCATCCCACCGCAGATCTGCCCCAAAGGGTCCAAATATTCCACCCTCGCCCACATGAAAACGTGACTTGCAGGGGGTCAGTGGTCTGGGATCATCAGAGAAGGAAGAGCGGATGCTGCGAAGAGAGAGAATTCCTTCTCCCAGCAGTCAGCTAACTCGCAGGCAGTGTTAAACCAATCAGCAGTGCCGGCTTTAGTCTCCACTCCCTAACTCTTCCCCGAGAACACGTCTGTTGCCTAAAGCTTTTTAGAAGCAAAGGAAGGTGATGGTTTTAGTTTTATTGTTTTGCTTTTTCTCCACTTCTCAGACTGTGTGCTGGTTCCTAATAGGAACAGAGACGAAGATGTACAGGCCCCTTTCAGGGGCGCGAAAAGGTGGGAGGAAGAGAGCTGTTCCTTCCGCGCTGCCGCCTCTGCCCGGTCTCCACTTGGCTTAGCTTTGCGATGCCTTCCTTCCTTGTGAATAGGCCTCTGCTTTCGCAATTATGCTTTGTTTCTAAGGGATATCTCTTGGGTAAACACTGGCTATCTATCTGGCTTTCCTGTTATTGTAAATTTGGGTTTCGATAACAATGGAACATTGTGTCCTTAATCCTTCTGTCTGAATTTCAATTTTAGCTTCAATTATATTTGATTATTTTCGGGTTTAATCTGCCTCTGCTTCCTTCTTCTAAGGTCAAGGAGGCCTCACTCTCTCAGCTTTCACTTTCACTTCCATTGTTCACTCTGGGAGGGTTATCATGTGTCACCCCCCCGATTTCCTTCCTCCCTTCCCATTCCCCCCTCTTGTCTAGCTCTTTTCTCTGTCCATATTTTTGGGGGTGTCATTTTGCTTATTAGCTCTTTGATTTTGGCATTAGTTTTTTCTTTTCCTATTCTGAACTGTTTGAGCCTGAGCTCCTGCTGTAATTTGTAACAGAAGTTTAGTAGTGATACAGTAGTAGTTTATGTGTAGCCTGACCTGTTCTATTAAATATTCTTTTTACCTGTCAGATAAAGGTCATCTATTGTCAATTCCAAATCACAATATTAGTCCCCACTGCTCTGCCAAAACAATACACAGCTATCACCATTGTTAGTATTCCACCAGCTCCATCAAACAAAATATGAAAATTATTTCATTGCATTCAGGATAAAGATGTTACTTGGCACAATGATTGGTTTGGAAAGATTTTCACTCTGGACATCACAGATGGTCATGATCCAGCGAGGCATCCAAAATGTGAAATTGTGAGTGTGTGTCTGAAGTTTTTTAGGCAGGAGATCCTTAGGTCTTTGTAGATGCCAACACCTCCTTTTTGCTCACAGGTGGATAGGAATCACTATCATTTAAAACAAACAAACAAATGTAGATTTATGTTAAGAGTAATTAAATATTTGTTGCTAAATATCTTGATGGTAGTCAGGGATATACTAGAAAGACAAAATAAAGCCAACAATGCAAAAAAAATCTAGTGGAATGAATAAACCATGCAGGGTAAACACCTAAGCAGAAAGGGGTGGTGTTGATGAGGAATTAGCAACAAGAAAATAGCAATGGGGGGCTGGGGATTTAGCTCAGCAGCAAAAGCGCCTGCCTGGCAAGTGCAAGGTCGTGAGTTTGGTTCCCGGTACCGGAGAAAAACCAAAAAAAAAAAAAAAAAAAAAAAAAAAAAAAAGAAAATAGCAGTGGGGGCTGGGGATTTAGTTCAGTGGCACAGCGCCTGCCTGGCAAGCGCAAGGTTGTGAGTTCGATTCCTGGTACTGGAAAAAAAAGAAAAGAAAGAAAGAAAGAAAGAAAATAATGCAATGACAGGAAAAAATCAATATCTTTAAGTAATAACTCTCAGTGTAAAGGGTCTCAGTTCTCCAGTGAAAAGAAACAACAGATTGGCAGGATGGATCAAGAAACAAACACAACAATATGCACTATACAAGGAATACATTTAATCCAAAAAGAACAAACAGATTAGAAATCAAAGAATAGAAAACAATATTCTATGCAATGGAAACCTGGAAAAAAGCAGGAATAACTATCCTAATTTCAGACAAAGTGGATTTCAAGTCAAAATTTATTTGATCAGAAGGTCACTACATATTGGTTAAGGGAACAATTCAACAGAGAGAGCTAACAATTATAAACATATATGCACCAAACATTGACATGCCCAACTTCATAAAATAAACACTACTGTATGTAAAAGGTCAAATACCAACACAATTATAATGGATGCCTCAGTACCCCACTGTCACAAGTAGATCAACAAGACAAAAAAAAAAAAAATCAAAAAAGAAATATCAAAGTTGAAAACCTTCAAACAAATAGACTTAATAAATATCTACAGTGTTTTCCCCAAATACAACAAAATACACATTCTTCTCAGCATCACGTGGGACTTTCTCCAAAATAGGCCCCATACTAGCCCATAAAGCATGCTTAAGTAAATACAAAAGAACTGAAATTATCTCATGGATCTTATCAGATCATAGTGCAATGAAACTAGAGATTAAAGGCAAAATAACCACAGAA